ATGCACCCTTACCAACACCCTAACTCACGCACCTACGCCCAGACACATATGCCCACATAAACATTCACACTCACACGTACATCCATACCAACACCAATACAATATGTCCACATCCACACCAACACCCACATCATGCATCCACGCCCAAATTCACAGCCATGTCTACACCAAACCCACATCTTACACTGACACCCCACACACCCACTCTTGTACAGTTCGGACTACATGAATTTCGCTCCACAGAATTTTCAGCTCGCCTTCAATTGACCTTATTGGCCCGTAGAAAAAGCTAATTTTTTTAAAATTAGTTGCTAGAGACCGTATACTGAGCAGCATGACTCAATGCTGAGCAAGATGGACGTAGTGCTCAGCCGAACGACAGAGTATGGACGTGGGTGAGGGTCAAAAAGAGACCGATATCCAATCCCATCCCCATATTCCCACCCACAATATGTCGTCCAGCTGAGCACTGAGCCATCTTACTGAACACTACGACACTCTTTCCAGCTCTGAGTCATCTAGCAACCAATTTAAAAACATAAGGGTTTTTTTAGGAGTCAATGAGATCAGTTTAAGGAGGGACCGAAGTCCTAAAGAATTTCTGAATAGGGCGCAAGGAGGAAATGCATCTCAAATCAAATGTTTCATCGATTGAAGCTCAGGCGAATGAAGAAAAGCATTGCTAGTGTGATACGACAACACATTAGGCTTATAATGTACATATAGAAGTACTGATCCATTATAGTTGCAAATCAGTATATAATATAATCGAGTCCGTTGACATGCTTCCGTCAATCTAGAATTGCCCGTTTATACTTCTAACTATTGTATGGATCAAGAGAGAGGTATGATAATGTAATAGCTATATCGCTGTCTGTTGTATTTTCAGTTATCACGAATACCTATGATTTTCATGTCTTCTTGCATTTCACTCTTATTTTCTTCATCTCTAATGTATGCAGCTGCTCATGAATTTTGTGTTCTGTCCCTGTATTTTCAACTCTTTTACTTATTTAATTTCATAGCCAGATTGATTTGTGGGATGTAAAAGAGAAATGCACACTTGTTGACTAAGTTCTGTCAATCGAAGGTAACGATAGTGTAAAGTATTATTGTAACGATCTTCGCTGAGTTTATTCAGCTGAGTTTTCTCATGTAACGCTTAACCTTCTCTCGATCTCTCTTGTGAACACATGCTTTATCCTTCCGTCTTTCATAACAACGATTAGTTCATTGCCTACTGTCACGACATCGATATACTTATCTTCTTCTGTAATTATCATTTCCTGTAATCCTCACCGCCCTGTTCATTTCTCTCTCTCTCTTGCCGCTTATTATTTCTTCCTCTCATCTCTCTTTCTTGGTTGCGTATATAAGCAAGTGTTTTCTATGTAAATGATGTGATTACTGATATGAAAAGGCTAAATAAAGTGTAATTTCATCCACACAAGCACTTCTTCTATCCAGAAATCGTCACAATTATTGTTTAGATTGAAAATTTCCAAGTCCTAAAAAGTCAGAATACAAAAAAAAGATGAAATGACTGGACACAGACTTTGTTTTATGAGCTAATAATTATACGTTCACATAGTCGTATTCATTTTCATGCATCAGGCAATAGCAGCCATCGTGATCATGGAAATCCTATAGTCATCAGTGAAGCTGTTGAGCAAGTGAATATTAAACATAACGATGTTTTGTGCACATGTTTAAATGTAATTCAGCCCATTACTAAATGTACATCGAATATAAAAACAAAGAGCACAAAAGTGAAAAAGGCTACCAATTCCATTAGTGCAAGCATGCAATGATTGACGACAAACAATATGCATTCCTGATCGATTTTTTACAATCACAACTTCAAATTGTAGAGTAAACGAAATTCGATCTTTTTCAACGACGATTTGCCAGCGTACATCAGAATAAACGATGCCTACCAGCACACAAGCGGTTGCTCCTCATTTACCTCGTCGTTATTGTCCTATAGACCAAAGCACGGTATGATGACTGAAGATGCTTAAAACTCAAGTGTAATCGAACGTACTTTGTCTCTTTGTAGATCACCTGACATCAGAATTGATTTTTTTGTCTCTAAATGGATGTTTTCTTAATAAGTGAATACAGTTCTTTTAGGTACAATCGTTTTCATGAAGCATGAAGCACTAAAAAATAATAATTGAAATCAAACAACTTTTTACGGTTTTATTGATTTTAAGAGAATTTACACATAGAAAAGAATGTTTCGCTAAAAAGAATTACAAGTATTTTCCTAAAAATCTTTTGAGAACACATTGCTTTTTGAAAACATTTGGAAAAAATCTAACTCATGATAAAAGGCTGCCTTAAAAATGATGATTCAAAGACTCATAAGATTAGAACATATCTTTCTTTCGTGAGGAGCGCCATACTTGTAATATTCGAAGATTTGCCTTAAATTTCAAATTTCAAATTGTAAAGCTTGACCGAAGGATAGTCTTGCGTGAGGAATCTCAATCCAAAATTAAATATAAATTTTCCTAATATTCTTGTTATGAATTATTAATAATTTTAATATTTTTCACAAAGCTTGGTATAACATGAATTGGGCAGCACAATGCTTAAGGATGCCACGACAAATAAAAATGATAGATAACTTCTAATAAGTTATTACAAAAGTCAAAATATGATATCGGATTCATATTTCACGTGTAAGATTACCTTATACTCCTGTTTTGAACGTTGAAATTTGCAAATTGATAGAAATCTTCAATTTCTACATTATTGATCCATATTCTTACTCATCCACTTTCAACTATCATTAAATTCCCGTCAAAAACCTGATGATACGTATTTAATTTGGTCTAAAACGACACGATTTATCAGGATGTGAATACGGGTGCCGATGTGGGTGTCAGTACTGTCTTTGTTTGCACCACACATCCACACGCACATCTTAGTTACTACATTATTGCAATACCATGAGTTTTCGAGGAAAAGATAATTTTTTTATGAGTTGAGTAACCAAATATTGATTGGAAGTAATGGAACACACATAAGTTGAAGATTCAAGTTGATTCTTCAAAAACCTACACAAAAATATTTCGCCATTGCTGTAAAACATCGATAGATACTTTACGCAGCCTTTCAATATACATCTAGGAAGTAAGCAGTAAAGCACAAATATGTAGTAAAATAAATTCAAAACACCACTGTGTGATTATTATTCTATGGAATATATTATATTGCATTTATTTCATGGATGTATTTCTTATTTAGAATGGCTCAGGGTCTCAAACAACAGTTAGTCAGATTAACTTCGATCTAAGTGATGTTCCTGAAGTTGCTGGCAATACACTTAATTCTGTGTTAGTTATTTTTTGCATAAGATAATGTCTCATTGAATGCTAATTGAACTGCTTGTTTTTCTCTACTTTTAGACAACAGACAAGCTCGATTGCGAAAATAGTATTGGTTGTTCTCATAGTTGTTGGAACAATTGTTGCAGGAGTTGTTACGGCTGTGGTTCTTACTAGTGTGGTATTTTCTGAGACGACGATCACGACGACGATGACGATGGCTCGTGAGTCCACTGCGATGGATATATGTCTTGAGAAGGAATAACGGAGTCTAGATTCATCGATCGAACATCGATCATGAAAATGTTCTCCACAACCAATGAATTTTGGTTTGCTCATAGCTCTCACTGAATAACATTAACATTTGAAGTTCGAGTGCGATAGATAATAGTGTGACTGAGATCTACCAAAAAAACATAAGATTCTCGGAAAGAATGCTAAGTGCCCTACAAGTCATGATAATGCCGACGTTTTCAGTTATAGATTTCGTATGTTAAAAATCATGTCAAAAATCAAAACGATCACAAGTACTTCAACGGCCTCTGAGTTTTTCACAAATTATGCTAAATAGTGCTTCACTGGAACTTCAACAAAGAAGTTGCGCGGCACGGGCAAAAATATGTAAAAACAGCGTCATAGTTAGGAATAACAGCACGTAAATTTTCAAAAAAAATACTTTTATTGGAATCGAGATATTGCCTTTCCGATATGTCACGCCTGACAGCAACTTCCTGTGTTCTAATGATAAAACAAAAAATCAGTTCTAGCATTTTATTGCTACAATTCGCTATAAAACCATGACATTTTCACTTAATTTGATTTTGGCCATCAATAGATGCATTAGATCACTTCAAAGCTCGTGTAAGTTAGTGGTGTAACTAAGAGTCGGTCTCAGATTGGAAGTTGTCCTTGCACTGACAGTTTCTGCCATACCACCGAGAAAAAGAAAAAAAGCTAATTTATCACCAATATTTACATAGTATCGGATAGATTTTTTGAAAAGTCGTCAGTCATCGCGCTACTACTCATAATTTCCTGATTGCATTGCTAGTATACATCCGATCTATACGATAAATAACCATACGTCGACGTTTAAATTCCTGTCTTCAGTTTTGAGAAAACTACAATCTATCTAAAAATTCAAACGTACCACTTTTGAATAATGAATTAATGTAGAATGGAAGCGATTATTCACTTGCAATACTCGCTGATAGAAGTAGCAATGAAGTTTAATTGAATCATCGTAATTTTGATGTTCAAGCTAACTGATCAGTGCTTGAGCATAGTTCAAAAGGTTTTAACGTTCAACGTTTCTATTTCATAAACAACATGAAATGGAAATCTCAAAAACAGTATTCTGGTCGTTTCATATGTTTGTTTCTCTGTAACAAGCAGATCAGTTTCTACTCAGGTTCACATGATGAAATCTTTGAGGGTGGATTGGTGGGTAAAAAAAGACCCTAAGTCACCCATTCCGCTCTCATATATTTATTTATGTGTGACAGCGACAGATTCACATCAAGAAACCTTAAGGCGAGAGAAGAAATAGCATGTAACAGGCAGTACTACTAAATATATCCAAGTAATTTCTTTACATCTATGAGGGAAGAAGATCGAACGTGTTGACTTTTATCGTATCTAATAAGTTTGGATAAGACTATCAGAATGTTCAACTTGAAATTACACCGATTATTTTTTCCGTCTTTAGCAATTGTAACAGCAACAACAATAACAACTACGACCGCGACAACAACAACAACTACGACTGTGACAACAACAACAACAACAACTTCTACTACAACAACAAAAACAACTTCTAGTACTACCACGACGTCAACCACTACCACAACAACAACGTCAACCACTAGCACAACAACAACGTCAACTACTACCACAACAACAACATCAACTACTACAACGTCAACTACCACAACAACCACTACTACAACCACTTCGACAACATCGACATCAAGTAAGTCCACAGACGAATAGATCAATGAGCAAAGAAGGGCTCTCGTCCCTTTTGAAAGATTTTAAAGGCAATGAGGGATGTGAATACAGTCTTTAGTACCTATGTATTGATAAGCTTTGTACTTTCACTAATTGCTTTATACGTAGGAATGAAAGCATTTCTTTCATTCCGATGCCTAAGGAATAAAAGATCCCTTGAACATGTTTTCTCAAGTGTAACACGATGTTATTTTTTAAACATAAAAACAAAAAAAAAATTTCCTACCATATTCGAGAAGTTTCGTATCAATTTTATCTTGCATTTGCCGTCATGTTTTCTGATGTAGTCGTTCAACAGTTAGCTAATGTAGATTGAAGTACCATACGATTTCGCTGTGTGGCTACTTAGCAAAAGTAGTACAAATAGGAATGCAAAAAATAACATTTTAGAATTGTAGAAAATATTTTTTTCATCACTGTTGTGACACAGATATGTGTGGGCTCTAATCTTCTAGACGTTTATTACATTTGAATGCTGACGTTGTAGAATAGTAGTATCGAACGCGTTGCTATTTACCAACTAGTGTTTGATACAGAATGAACGAATGGCACCGTAAAAATCTCAAGAAAATTCTTTCAAACTGATTTGTATAGAAAGTGTACGGGTAAAAGTTAACAAAACATCCATGATACTTCATAAGAAACAGATGACCTCTCTCAGCCTTTTCACTTGTTTATGTTTGAGAATATTCTAAAAAGTTCAGAGGCAATGGAACGAAGTCCAAGACCTTTTCTAGTCTCTTGAAGTATGTTTTTCCGTGTCGACAAGTTCAGAATTCATCAGAATTTGATCGAATGAGAAAAAATTCAACTTTTTACAATTTAAATTAAGAAAAGTAACCAACACTTGCTATTTTCGTTGAGTAAATTTAAGAGAACAACTTCGATTGAACTTTTACTGTTGCATCTAAAGTAGTAGGATATGATAGTCAGTTTTTGTCAAGCGATAAAAAGTTAAATGTTTTTGAGAATGTGTCATCAAAGAAAAACCAATCGCACTCTCAACGATTGATGTGTCACTTCTTCAATCATAATAGTTGTCTGCGGAGCTCTTCGAAAGCTCAACAATGTTATAGTCTTTTTTGTTTAATAGCTTAAAATGAAACAGAAATATAGTTAAAATGTTGAGAGATTTATTATTTATAGACCACATATTCCATTCGAAATCAGTAATAGTCCTTGAGTAAGATGAGATTCTTATCTATCGACAAACGCGGTTCAATTTTTACTAGACTATTGAACTGTGATGGAATTCTTGAAAAATGAGAATTTTTTTATGAAATTACAGACAAAAATTCTTAAAAACAATAAGTGATTGTATAATGCAATGCTTATGCAGTAGGAAAAAAAGAAAATTAATAAAGCCCTGTGAACATTTGTTGTCTCTTCTCGACTTCAGCATGACCAGCATGGATAGTCATGCAATACTCATAATAATAAATATCAGCTAATAACTATCTTCTGAATATTATATTATTTAGTTGTAAGACTGTTGATAATCACTGATTACAAAAAAGAGAAAACTTTTGAAAGACGATTTATATCAAATCTGATAAAAGTCAATAATAATACAATATATAGAATTGCTTTCTGTATTTTTCAGATAGTTCTTATAAGACATTTTCTTTTCAAAGATATACTTAAAGAAAACTACTCTATGTTCTGATAACGCTCATAATTCTCTATCGATCTATGTATTCATATCAACTCTTATACCAATTCATTCAAAAATACATTAGGGCTACAGTAACTGCATATCCATCATCAGATTCTTAGAAATTGACTTTTTATTGTTTCCAATCGTTTCGTCGTGTATATCGTAACTGAAAAAAAAAACAATAATACAAACATAATTTGAGTAGTAGATCGAAATCACGTTATTCGTTTGAAAAAAATTGCTTAGAATTTCAATAATTTGCCTTCCTTATTTGATACTGACATTAAAACATTTCTGAGAGTCATAAAATCTAACGTTTTTACAGTCAAATTCTTACCATTTAATCGACCACATAAAGATCTATCGATTAATGTTTTTTCCATTTTGATCCAACAGTATCCTTCAGTCATTTGTACGTTTTGATCGGAGTTGTCTTGTAATGTGATTTCATTATGCAATATTTTTGCCATCATTTCGACTGTTTTCTTTTCTGTATCGTATCTCGTCAGCAAACATACATGTAGTTATGTTGTCAATCAGGAAAACACAGAGATGCTAGTGCTATTCCAATTACGAAATTCCATCGAAAATGGAATACTTGAAAATTGAGCAATTTTTCTCACAATTAAAAACTTGAAATGAAACAAGTCTTATACTGCTTTTTCCGTCGTAGATTTCGATAGATATCAATTTTGTATACACTTTTCATTCGAACTGTTCGATAAAATTTTACATATTGAGTAACACCAGTATCTTATTTTTCTGATCAAGAGCAAACCGATATGAATTTTAGCTGGCGTAGGTATCGATGTCAAGTATCGAAAACTAAAAATCTGTTTTTCCATCTCGTAGAGCAGTCTTACAGCCCCTTTCACAGACCATCATAGACACTTGAAGATGGTAATTTCTTAAACTTGTAATGAATCATAACGCAAATAACAAGCATCTTCATGTTCATGTGAAACGGCTTCATCGTGTTTCACGTTTTGATCTTGTTAAAATTGCGATGAAAATTATTCAATATAAAGCCTTTAATTTGTTGTTTAGCAACCACAACCACAACCAAAACCACAACTACTACTACGTCAACAACCAGCATAACTACAACTAGTGAGACAACTACGACTTCGACTACGAGCACCACCACCACCACAACAACTACTCAAACAACAATAACGTGNATCATATTGATCAATAGCAACACCTTTAGGTCCTCTCAATTGATTAGATTCATTCCCAGCCGTTCCATTCCCAGCGACAATAACTTGTATGTAGCTTCTTTTTTGTTTTATAAAACACTTAAAATGAAGAATTATTATTTCATTTTCAGTCAGTCCCGTTGGCATTTATGCTTTGACAATCCCGACGTGTGCCACATGGAATGATACTGGATTAACAATGGGTGGCAATAGTAATGGAAGTGCAGGGTCGGATTTAGGATCTCTTAGTAGTCCAGTGAGTATTTTTATTGACAACAATGATAATCTATTCGTTTGTGATCGAGATAATTTTCGCATACTAAAATTTACTCCTAATGCAACTACTGGAGTTATTGTCGCTGGGAATGGAACGGCTGGGAATGAATCTAATCAATTGAGAGGACCTAAAGGTGTTGCTATTGATCAATATGATGATATTATTGTTGCTGATAGTGATAATTATCGAATACAAAAATTTGTCAATGGTTCCACATTGGGTATTACACTGGCTTCCAATTCATCAATAAATCCTCTCGGTCAAATGCGAGATTTACATATTGATGTCAATAATAATATATATGTTACTGATTCCGACAACAATCAAGTTGTTAAATTTATTCCTTTTTCATCGATTGGTGTCGTGGTAGCAGGCGGAGGGCCAGCTGGTCCAGGAACCGATCAACTATCGGGTCCATTTGGAAATTTTGTAGATCCTAATGGAACGTTGTATGTAGCTGATGATCAAAATTTTCGCGTAATGAAATATTTTCCTGGATCATTGAATGGAACCATAGTAGCTGGTAATGGAACAGCGGGTTCAAATTCGTATCAACTGGCTCGTTCTATATCGATCATTGTTGATAATAATGGGTACGTTAAATTGAAAATCATATTGAAATACATGAACTAGAGACTGGATTTTCTTTGCTTTTTGATATATGCTCATGATTTACGATACATTAAAAAAAATACTCATATAAATGTAATCTAACTTCTAAAAGCGGCATGCTTTATTGATAGGTATATCTATGTGGCTGATTATGGCAATGCAAGAATCATGCGTTGGACAACGAATTACGCAGTGGGTGGCGTTTGTGTTATTGGTTGCACCGGAACATCAGGTACATCTGCCACTCAATTACGCGGCCCAAGAGATCTGAAATTTGATAGACACGGTAATATTTACGTAACTGATCAGGCAAATCATCGAATACAAAAATTTTTAATCCAAATACCTACAGCAGGTTGTTCTAGTAAGTCACCGAAATGAAATCGCACATTTATGTGATGTTCTTACTTAAATCTCATTTGCATTATTTAGGTGGTTAGAGTATAACAAAGACAATAATTCAATTTTCACATATATATGGACTAAAAACAAAATTAACACTAATATATTTGCACATGTTCCATCTGTATAGAAGAGAATGTTTTATTGCACAACATACATTTCATTTGTATTATGATAATCATTACATTGGATTATGTTGAAAATTCGAACTACATGTAAAATAAATGTTTTACTGTGTTGATTAACTTGTTGTTTTTAAATGACAAGAATGCTTTATTGAAAAGAAAAAAGAAAAACAAAATATTGACAGTTGTATGTTTTGATGCTCGGGAAATCCACTACTATTTTCGTTATCTGAATATCTAAACAGTCATAATTAACATGAATACAGAACTTCTTTTACTATAGATATATGTCTCTTTTCGGTGAAGTACAAACTGTAATCACTTGTTTGAAAAAGAAAGAGTATAGCAATGGGAAGATAATCAAAATCATACAATGTAATTAAAGAATATGGCAAAATTAAAGAGTTTCTTTTATCATAAACAATGCTATTGATCTACTAATGACATGTGTAGATGGTAGTACCTGAGTACTACTAGTTGATCTTATCATGTTAAATATAATGTAATGCAATTTTGTAATTAAAATCACCATACTTTTCTTGTTGTTTCAAAAAAAAGAAAATAATATTCGATATGTTNGAGTGATTGCATAATGCAATACTTATGCAGTAAGAAAAAAAGAAAATTAAGAAAGTCCTGTAAACATTTATTGCCCCTTCTCGACTTCAGCATGACCAGCATGGATAGTCATTCAATATTCATAAGGAAAAATATCAGCTAATAACTACCTTCTGAATATTATATTATTTACAGCACTATTGAAAAGAAAAGAATTTTATAAAACTGTTGATAATAAACTGATAAAAAAAATTCTTGAAAGACGATTTATATCAAATCTGAAAAATTCATTAAAAAAATACGTTGAGAGCACAGTAAATGCATATTCGTCGTCAGATTCTTAGAAATTGTGTATTCCTAACTGAAAAAAAAACACAATAATGCAAACATAATTTGAGTGGCAGATCGAAATCGCATTATTCTTTTGAAAAACTTTTCTTAGAATTTCAATAATTTGACTTTCTTAAATTGACACTACCATAAAAACATCTCTGTTACTTGTAAAACCTAACTTTTTTACAGTCAAATTCTCATCATTTAATCGACTACATCAAGCTCTATCGATTAATGTCTTTTTCACTTTCATCAGACTTTTCGTGTGATATGATTTCATTATGCAATATTTTTGCCATCATTTCGGCTGTTTTCTTTTCTATATCGTATCTCGTCAGCAAACATACATGTAGTTATGTTGTCAATCAGGAAAAAACAAAGATGCTAATGCTATACCAATTACGAAATTTCATCGAAAATAGAATATTTAAAAATTGAGCAATTTTTCTCGTAATTAAAAACTCGCAATGAAACAAGTTTTATATTGCTTTTCCCGTCGTAGATTTCAATAGATATCAATTTCGTATACACTTTTCATTCGAACTGTTCGATAAAATTTTACATATTGAGTAGCATCAATATCTCATTTTTCTGATCAAGAACAAACCGATATGTGTTTTAGTTGGTGTAGGAATCAATTTCAAATATCGAAAACCAAAAATCTGTTTTTCCATCTCATAGGGCAGTATAACAGTCCCTTTAACAGACCATCACAGACACTTGAAGATGGTAATTCTTTAAACTTGTAATGAATCATGACGCAAATAACAAGCATCTTCATGTTCATGTGAAATGGCTTCATCATGTTTCACGTTTTGATCTCATTAAAACTGCACTGAAAATTATTCAATATAAAACCTTTAAATTGTTGTTTAGCAACCACAACCACAACCACCTCCACAACAACAACAACTACTCAAACAACAATAACTTGTGTGTAGCATTTTATTTTGTTTTATGAAACACTTGAAATGAAGAATTATTATTTCATTTTCAGTCAGTCCCGTTGGCATTTATGCTTTGACGATTTCGACATGTGCCACATGGAATGATACTGGACTAACAATGGGTGGCAATAGTAATGGAATTCCAGGGTCGAATTTAGAATCTCTTAGTACTCCAGTGAGTATTTTTATTGACAATGATGATAATCTGTTCGTTTGTGATCGAGACAATGTTCGCATACTCAAATTTACTCCTAATTCAACTACTGGAATTATTGTCGCCGGGAATGGAACGGCTGGCAATGAATCTAATCAATTGAGAGGACCTAAAGGTGTTGCTATTGATCAATATGGTGATATCATTGTTGCTGACAGTGATAATAATCGAATACAAAAATTTGTCAATGGTTCCACATCGGGCATTACACTAGCTTCCAATTCATCAATAAATCCTCTCGGTCAAATGAAAGATTTACATATTGACGTCAATAATAACATATATGTTACTGATTACGACAACAATCAAGTTGTTAAATTTATTCCTTTTTCATCGATTGGTGTCGTGGTAGCAGGCGGAAGGCCAGCTGGCCCAGGAACCAATCAACTGTCGGGTCCATTTGGAAATTTTGTAGGTCCTAATGGAACGTTGTATGTAGCTGATGATCAGAATTTTCGCGTAATGAAATATTTTCCTGGATCATTGAATGGAACCATAGTAGCTGGTAATGGAACAGCGGGTTCAAATGCGTATCAACTGACTCGTTCTATGTCGATCATCGTTGATAATAATGGGTACGTTAAGTTGAAAATCATATTGAAATACGTGAACTAGAGACTGAATTTTGTTTGCTTTTTGATATATGCTCATGATTTACGATACATTAGAAAAAAATACTCATATAAATGTAATCTAACTTCTAAAAGGGACATGCTTTATTGATAGGTATATCTATGTGGCTGATTATGGCAATGCAAGAGTCATGCGTTGGACAACGAATTACGCAGCCGGTGGCGTCTGTGTTATTGGTTGCACTGGAACATCAGGTGCAGCTGCCACTCAATTACGCAACCCAAGAGATCTGAAATTTGATAGACACGGTAATATTTACGTAACTGATCAAGGAAATCATCGAATACAAAAATTTTTGATCCAAGGTTGTTCTAGTAAGTCACCGAAATGAAATCGCTCATTTTATGTCATGTTCTTCCTAAAACTCATTTTTTCTCATTTGCATTATTTAGGTGGTTAGAGTAGAACAAAGACAATAATTCAAGTTTCACATGTATCTGGACTAAAAACAAAATTAACACTAATATTTGCACATATCACATCTGTATAGAAGCGAATATTTTCTTGCACAACATATATTTCATTTTTATTACAATAATTATTACATTGGATTATGTTGAAAATTCGAACTACATGTAAAATAAATGTTTTACTATGTTTATTAAACCGTTGTTTTTAAATGACAAGAATGCTTTATTGAAAATAAAAAATAAAAACAAAACATGTTGACAGTTGTATGTTTGATGCTCGGGAAATCCACTACTATTTTCGTTATCTGAACATCTAAACAGTCATAATTAACANATTTTTATTACAATAATTATTACATTGGATTATGTTGAAAATTCGAACTACATGTAAAATAAATGTTTTACTATGTTTATTAAACCGTTGTTTTTAAATGACAAGAATGCTTTATTGAAAATAAAAAATAAAAACAAAACATGTTGACAGTTGTATGTTTGATGCTCGGGAAATCCACTACTATTTTCGTTATCTGAACATCTAAACAGTCATAATTAACATGAATACAGAATTTCTTTTACTATAGATATATGTCTCTTTTCGGTGAAGTACAAACGGTAATCACTTGTTTGAAAAAGAAAGAGTATAGCAATGGGAAGATAATCAAAATCATACAATGTAATTAAAGAATATGGCAAAATTAAAGAGTTTCTTTTATCATAAACAATGTTATTGATCTACTAATGACATGTGTAGATGGTAGTACCTGAGTACTACTAGTTGATCTTATCATGTTAAATATAACGTAATGCAATTTTGTAATTAAAATCACCATACTTTTCTTGTTGTTTCAAAAAAAGAAAACAATATTCGATATGTTGTACATGTTTTTTTATTGAATAATTATCGGATTAAATTAAGAAAGGAGATTATGATCAGTCAGCAGCGTGGCGCAGTGGAAGCGTGCTGGGCTCATAACTCAGAGGTCGGTAGATCGAAACTACTCGCTGCTATATACTTATTTTTTTTTTGTTTTCATTCTGAATTGTCGAAATTGCGTAAGGTAACAGCAACATTGATTTTCATCCACTTAGTGAGATAATAAAAATCAGATGTGAGGCAGTGAACTTCTTCTCAAACCGTCGATCGTCATATTATTAACTCAGTACTTGAATAAAGCCTTCTGTTTGAACAAAAACATATCGTGTATTTTGGGTTACGAAGAAGCTTTTCAATTTATTATTCAGTGTCTTTAAAAAATTATTTCATAACTTTATCTCATTTGTCGTGAGTCACTAGTCAAATATAGGAGCAACACAGAATCAAGTATGAAAAAAGAATAGAAAGAAAAAAAAAATGATATTATCGTTTATTCAAATCTAGTTCGAACTTCTATAATCGACCTATTCTTTCATTGCAAAACAATCAACAGCTTTTTCTTTGATAACGATCACTTTTCTGTATTCAATATCAAATGGCTGAATTTTCTCCGTGCAGATACCTTCCTCTCACTCGAGAAACTCAATCATTACTTGATTTTTGAGAGTGTAAGTTTGAAATTCAATGAAATCGACGAATTTATTTCAAGAACTGAATCGATTAGATTTGCATGGTTACAAAAAGAAGCAATATATTTTAACTAATTCCCATGCTACTAAAGTACGAGATTGAGTGTCTGTTTCAAAGAATAGCATTAGAAAAGAATACATGGGGGCACAAATTTTCTCACCATATTATTTTGCAATGCATCAATGAGCTGCTGTTGTCCCTCTTCTGTAATTTGATTGTTCGACACGTTCAAACGAAGAAGTGTCTTTTACAAAAAAACAAAAATATCCAATTAAAAATGAATAAGATTTGATATATATATATATGTTACCTGATTAACTTGTAAGGCATCGGCCAAACATTGTGCTCCTTCTTGTTTGATTTGATTCCATTCAAGTTCCAAGCGAGTGAGTGTCTATCATAATTAATAAGTAAGTAATGAACTACCGGTAGCTTAAAAAATAATTTCCCATACTCTGTTACTTCGTAAAGCATCAGCTAGTTTCTGTACCCCATCATGTGTAATTTCATTCTTTCCAAGGTCTAACTGAGTGAGCGTCTATGCCAAATAATAATAATTAAGTAATCAATCAGATTAAGAGACAATATCTCATACTTTGTTAACGAACAAGGACTCAGCTAGATATTGTGCACCTTTATCCCCTATTTGATTGCCCCAGAGACTAAGTTGTGTTAGGCTCTATTATACATAATTAATAAGATATGAAACAAAGAACATAGCGATCTTACCGTATTACTGTATAATGCCAAAGTCAAATGTTTAATACCTTGTTCTGTGATTTCGCTTCGCTCAAGACCTAGTTTAGTAATTGTCTACATTCAAAAGAAAAGCAAAAAAAAAATCAAGAGATAAACACATGTCATCTATTTACTCGGTTATTATTTGCCAACGCATTAGCCAGATATTGTACTCCTTCATCCATTATAGGATTACACCAAAGATTAAGCTCAGTGAGATTCTAGACCAAATAATGAGCATTTAACTATACAAAACATATGAAAAACAATATTCCTCACCATATTATTATGTAATGCAGCAGCTAACTGTTCTATGCCATTTTGTGTAATTTGATTACCGCTAAGATCTAATCGAGTAATAGTCTAGATTGAATAGATCGTGACAATATGAACCATATGCACTAAAGTCATTTTTTGATACCTTATTGATTCGTAACAAAGTTGCTATATGTTGCATTCCTTTATTGGCAATTTTATTTGATCCAATATTTAGTTTTGTCAGTGTCTATTAGAAATATTTACTGTCAATTTGAGATAGATATCGACATCATGTATATTTACTTTGTTAACTCTTAAAGCATCAGTCAAACGTTGAGCTCCTTTATCTGAAATTTTATTCGATTCAAGATCTAGTTCAATGAGTTTCTATGTAAAAAAATCTCAAGACAATGATAGAATGTGAAGTATTTCTAACCCGATTGATAAATAGTGCTTCACTCAAATATTGTACTCCATTATCTGTAATTTCGTTTCCTCCAAGGCCTAGTCGAGCAAGCTTTTGTATCTAATAACTTCAAAGTGAATGAGATCTATGAAGCATAACTTTGCTCACCCTCTTAGTTGTCAATGTATCAGTGAGATATTGTACACCAATGTCTGTAATTCTATTGAATGCAAGATCGAGTTGTGTTAAAGTCTTTCGTCAAACAACAAAGAATAAAAATAAAGATGATAATGATGAGAATACAATATCACTCACTGTATTATTTCGTAATCCATCAGCGATATGTTTCATTCCTTTGTCAGCGATTTGATTACTATTAAGATCGAGACGAATGAGTGTCTATGTTAAGAAACAAAATATTAATATAAAACAAATAATCAATTATGTTCTTATACTCTATTATTTCGTAAAGCATCAGAGATGTATAATCCTCCTTTCTCTGTTATTTTATTCGAACCAAGATCTAATTGTATGAGAGTCTGCATCAAAATAAGAAACAACTTATCTCTATGAATTATATAACAATATGATAACTCTTGCCTTATTACTTCGCAATGCATCAGCCAAATATTGTATTCCTTTCTCTGTTATTTTATTCGATGTAAGATCTAATTGAATGAGTGTCTATGTTAAAACTAATATTATATACAATTGAAAAGAAAGATAAATTTTCGTACTCGATTTGTTTTTAAAGCATCGGCCAAATATTTCACTCCCTCATCTGCTATTTCATTTTGTTTGAAATCCAATTCAGTAAGTGTCTGCATCATATAATCAATGCCAATATATTGTTAAAAGTAATCAATACTCTTACTCGATTGTTTCTTAATGCATCAGCAAGATAATTCATTCCTCTCTCAGTGATTTCATTTGCTCCGAGATGAAGTTTAGTAAGTTTCTACAAATCAAATAATTAAATTTCTTTAACAGCAAAACAACATAATAATTTATACTCGTTTAGCTCTAAATACATCAGCCAAATAATATGCACCTTTGTCGGTGATGCCATTCTGTTCGAGATTCAATTGAGTTAGTGTCTATATCAAAACAATAAAGAGATATTTAATTATTGAAAAGATTATTTTCAACTGTGTTTTGTTGTAATGCATCAGCTAGATGATGCACTCCATTATCTTTTATTTGACTCGATCCTAGATTCAGTTGCGTAAGTACCTATAGTACATAAATAAACTCAAATATCGAATTGATCAAAAATTAGGAATTGTTTCTACCGTATTTTCGAACAATGCATCGGCAAGATATTTTGCACCTTCATGTAAAATTTGGTTCTCTGAGAGATTTAATTGAATTAGAGTCTAGTTAGTATTGATAAGTAGAGTAAAAATATGTGAAATAAATAGATTGTTTGTCTCACTGTATTAGTTCGTAATGTATTAGCAATGGTCCAACACCCACACCATGTCAGATTGTTTCCTGATAGGTTTAATTGTGTGCAGTGAGTATTGATGGTTTTGTCTTTTACAATCTTTTCAATATCTGTATCGGTCAACTTTCTACCAGCCAAATTGATTGAGCGTACTCGATGTTCTGAATGTCCCAAGTCTTTAATCAAATCTGCTTCTAAAATGAGTTCGATTACAAAACAAAAACTTAATTTAAAGATTCATATATAACCTCATAAAAAATAGTTGTAGTAGATTTTCTAAATATACTGCCACTATAAAAATACATTTTCAGAATAGTAATTATATATTCTGAAAACCCTTGAAGTTTACTATCACTTTGAACATATACTTTTTGTCTTGCTTTTCAATTATGTATTGGAGATTAATTCAAGTATTATCTAGGTATCCTCATTGACATATTCTGAAATAAGGTGAATTTTTTTTAGTATCTCTTCCGTTTTTCGTTTCCAAAATTCAGCATAACTGTGCATTTGAGACGGTATGAGTGAATATAATAAATTGTTCAAAAAGTTATTTCTACAAAGAAAATTTTCCGAATTGAATGTAAAAATGTTTTATTAAGAAACATTTTTTCTGTTTCGATCTTCGCATGATGAAATTCGCAACTTTGCTCTTTTAAATAGCTGAAATAATTTTTCATGCGATCCTTGATTGTAACTATTTAACTCTAAAATAGTTTTATATAATGAATTGATTATCAACATTAATTTTGATGGGTAACATTTAGTGTATTTTTAATTTGAAATATACTTGAAAATGTGAATATGATGTATTTTTAAGTACATATGGTATTAAAAAGAACTATTACTAGACTAGTCAACATGTTCGATTACCTTGTTTTCAATCGGTTCATAACTAATTAAGAGTAGAGAAAAAAAAACTCGACATTGGGCTTCCATTAAAAAAATGTTTTTAGACACTGCAAAGAACGAAGTGTCTAGTAAGGCCACATTTAGATAAAACCAGAACAATGCTTCTCTAGAGATCATCTCATATGATAGAGTGTACTGTTATCTACACTTTGTAAATAAATAAAAAAAAGGTCATCATAAATCATTGAAAAATGCTATTCGAACTTTTCTAAATTTATAATCAATTTCCTCAAGATTTCTAACATAGCAAGCAATGCTTTGCATTAGCTCTATCCAAAAGAGAATGTTCTGATAATGATACACTATAGTTGACCAATTATGACAATTCTTACCTTTCATCGAAGTAGATTCCTTGCTAAATGGAGGTGCAATAAATTGATATGGTGGATTTTCCTCACGTAAATGAATCATATACAAATTTTCATTTGGACTCCATTTATCTTTGACACGAAGATAAGTACCGGGCATAAGAACGATTTCGTTTTCATTTTTGTAAAACGAATGTGCTCCAATAGCTTTTCCAGAAATACATTCGATAGTAAACAAGGTACGCACACCCGAACGACCAACAAATCGTTCCATAACTTGCATTGTTTCCGTACATGAACTCACACCCCACCATACTTGATCAATATTGTATTGATCGTACACGTCACCTCGAATACCACGCCAAATAACGCCTTTTGTAGACGGTAATTTGTATAAGGCGGTAAGAAAAAGTTTTAGATATGAAAACCAGGGTTTAAGTGCCTTTCTTTCTGACGAGCGAAGTGTTCGATTAAGAAGAGTATATAAACTATCATGAGGTTCTTCCCATTCTATCGTATAAAGATTAATAGCAGCCGATTGATCGCAAGTTAAACCATCTGCTGGCTTTTGTGAATTTCGTTTTGCAATGTATACCTTTGTATCGAGATCATAGAGTAAGGTTGTGATCGGTCGAACAGCTTCTTCGAGTGGTAGCAACTCTTCTTTCTCGTATCCTGCAATAGGCAGTAGTGTTTGACTCGGTTCTTCGTTTGCGTCCAGAAAACGGCTCATTTTACTTCCCTCTGAAACGCTTGCCATAAGTACAGTACGGAATAATGCATGTCTTTACTATCGATGTTGTTTGCTGCAAAAATAACACTTAAATGAAACGACGACCAACAGAACATAAGCGAGTTTCATTGGAAAAAATGTAATGGAATTAAAATTTTTCAAATGTATGCTTGTTTGCTTGACGATGCCATGCTGACAAATGTGTAAGTTTCTGTTTCGTTTGATCGAGTGAAAATTTTTCTTTTTAATTAAGATGCGACAAATGATATCACTATTTCACAGGACCGTTTTCTTCTCGTATTCTGATATTTTCTCTGTAAAAAGTTGATGGTTTATAAAAAAAACAGTTGGACAAATAGACAACTATTTTTTGTACGAACACGCACTATTTTACTTTATTTTTCGACAAGACTAACTTCGAATTTAATGTGCAAAGCAAATCTTACAAGAATACTATTATGTAAGAAATATTATCTGAATATCTTTTATAGCAAAGTAGTCATCAATTAACCGACTAGCTAGTTTGCAATTCAAAATGATTCGTTAAAGGGCATTTTATTTATGATAAATGAACGAAGATCAAAAATCAAACCACACGCTTTGTAATAGTTCAATGCTCAAAAAATTTAGTATTATTTTTGTTAGTTTAACACGTATTGGAGAGAATATTATATTTATCCACGCCATAACCACTATATGATGCTGATGTATAAAAATTACCCTTGCTATCTAGTCGCATTCTTGGTCCATACCCAAAATATTCTGGCATTATTGGAGTCAAACTTGAAGAGCTCGCTGTCCATTTGGAAATATTGTTGTAAGTAGCCACGTAGATGTTTCCTGAATTATCAACAGTCAAGCCACCATGGCCGCACCAATACATACTGACAGATGAATAGTAAAATAAATATCTACCATATTGGTTTCCTGATGAAAATGCCAAGACACAACTAAAATATAAATGAACAAATACGACATGTGTCATAGTTGTGAAAAAAACGCTTTGTGTGATCAATATCTTTTAAGTTTGGATTTTCTGTGTCACATGAAGAGTCAAATTGACAGCACACTTTGGAGTTTCTATGCCTAAACATTGTTGCCTTACTGTTTCCTATTGAGTTTGACATAACTCTATCAGAAAAAAAACAAGGTGATTCGCGTTTTGTACCGAATATAAATCAAAAAAAGTTATCTACGATACATTGGTCGAATCATTCTCTGCTTATTCATGTAAAACATACTTTATTTAGTACTCTATGTTCAGTAAAAAGCTAGAGACTTTCACATTAGTCTCACAATTTCAAAAACGAATAGATATCATCTCAACATATTCACTTGTATGATTTTTTTTAGAGTCTCTATTTTTCTGAAAAGCACATGCACAACCATTTGCCCTCAGAAAGTAACATAATGAATGCTATTATCTGCGCAATACATTGCACCTTGATGGTCAACGAAAATGTCTGCACATCCACAAAGCTCATTCAGTCCTGTACCACATTGAGTTTCACCAAAGATTGTGATACCATTAATTCAATTACTTGAGTTGTATTTCTGCAAACGATAATAGTTAATCCAAGATGGCATCACAAGTTCACTCTAAAAATAAAATGAGATGTTAGTTTAGATATCATTATTATTATGATAGACATATAAAGTGATTTACATACTCGAGTTTCATACGTAAAGATTGGCTCCATTTAAGTCTACAAACAACTGAACTATTGTGAATGGTGTTGAGTTACCAGAGCCAGCTACTGCTACTCCAATGAAATTGTTGGGAACAAACTTGAAAATCTGTTTACTGTTGTACTTGACCACGTAGATATAGTCAGTAGAATCAATACCAAAGTTGCCAACTAAAAACGGATAGCTACTATTCGATATTGAAGATATCATGTGTGTTGCATTTTGTTCCCATGTAGCATTTGAACAAATTCGAGTTACTGTAGAAACTATCTCAAATAGAAACAAGAGAGTCTAAGAGTATTTCTACATTCATCTAACCATTAATAAATTGTTTTGTGAAACACGATCTGAAAGGAGTGTTGAAGTGTTTAGGGGTAGCAATTTGGCCCC